GCCTACCTGAGGACTGACGCTGACCCAGTCTGTCCCTTTATCAGCTCAGTGTGCTGATGTGATGTAAAAATGGACCAAAATCTAATAAAGACTTAAAGGAGTTCTGAAGGCAAAAGGCGGTTAGCAGGGTGTAACTAATGAAGTGGCAGGTAAGTATATTTGCAGACGTGCTCCTAAATAGTCGCATGCGTCCAGTTTTAATCTCAGATATGAGTGAAACGCTTGCGCTGTTGAGTTCTGCATGACGGACTTTTTCCTCTTCAGCCTGTTTGCTTCATGTGTTGAATCATAAACATGATTGGTGGAAACAGGTTAACAGCCCAGCAGCTACCTAACAAGTTACCTGACATATTTACTTAGTGGCCGTCATCGTGTCATACCTGTAACAGTATACCTGCTCGTGAGAAGTTTTCCGTCATCTCATTAGTAACCTGTGGTTTGTTCCTGCAGATTTGCCACAGCAGCGTGTCTGTGATGACAAGGAGGTTCTCACAGACCAGCAGGTCTTTAACCAGGAATGGAACTTCAGCCCAGACCAGAAGGACCCGGAGCCTCCACAGATCACAGAGGAGCAGGCAGCAGTCGCTCTCTGTCACCAGGGAGAGCAGCTCGTACAGAACGAGGAGACTGACGCTGTTACGGTTCAGCCATGTTTGGGTCCTCCTGCCCATGAGCAGCCTAACACGGCTCCTGTTAAAGTCATTGATCTCAGCACAGATTCTGATTTGGCTCTGAAAACCAAAACCTTCACAGGTGAGAAGCTGTATCTCTGCAACACCTGTGGAAAAACACTGAAAACCGTGTCCTCATTTAAAAGGCATAACGCCAGTCACACAGGGGAGAGACCGTGCACTCGTAACAGCTGTGGGAGAAAATCTAAAGGCTTGAGAGCTTTAAAAACGCACGTGAAAACACAGCTGATCACAAGCTCGTGTGTAACACCTGTGGGAAAAGGTACAAAAAGGAAATAACATTAAAACTTCACATGCAATGTCACACAGGTAAGAAGACAAAGGCCTGAAACATCTGCTGGAAAAACTGCCCGTGAAACGAGGCTTGATGGGAAAAAGTACGAATTTGTACAGGTTCACATGTGAGATGGTTCAATAAAATTTGGTTTTGTTCTGTGTGAGGCTGCATGGTCATTTCTAGGCTGTGAAATTTCACATCCATGTCATGAATAATGCATATTATTAATCTAACAAGGTAAATTAATGATATGCACAAGAACTGCAGTGGGGGCTCTCTCACCCTTTGTCACCCCATTAGGGGCCTTCCTCCCTCCGCCTCCTGCTGGGATGGGCGGATGTCGCTGAGATGTGTGGCCTTTGGTACGCTTGGGGGCTCGGATCGATCTCTGTCTGCCTCTGGCTCCTGGGATGTTATTGCAGTTTCCCACCCTCATTATCAAGTACATTTGTGACAAAGACACGCACACTCTCACTCACTCTCTGTCTCTCACACACCACGAGAAGATTGATAATTTATGTAGCTGCGTATTTTCTCCTTTTTGTGTTCCAGGTGCAGCAGTTGGCGATATATTGTGCATTTCTAGCCTTTTATTACATATCCTATCCTTCCCCCACGCTGCCTTAGACGCTGTCATACTGTACACCACAAACAATATAATAACTGAAATATAGAAATTAACAAAGAAACAGATGAAAGATATACATGAACAAGAGGAGCCTATAGAGAATTTATAGAGGTGGTTTTGGAAACGCAAAATGTGTTTGGCACCAGATTGTGTGTACGTGTGTGTGTGTTCAGTTTAGGGGGAGCTTTTAATCTTTGGATATTGGAAATACCGTTTTAAGCACACACTCCAGCCTGCGGGGGTCGCTGTTGCGATGTTTTCTAGCCGACACAAAGAAGAGAGCTAATCTAACGGCAGCATCTAACGCGGCACTGAGAGGATTCAGACTCATTTTATACACCTTTTCTCCAAACTGTGGATATTGATACAGCTTATAAAAGAAATGTGACCAACGACTGAGTTTAAACCAGTGTTTAAAATGTTATGACGAAGTCGCTATCTGCTAACGTCAGCTAGCCGCTTAGCTGGTTAGCTTTTGGTTGCCTGACAACGGAAGCCAAACAAACACCGCTAGCAGGTTAGCAGTGCTAATCTGCTAAAGGTGCTAGGTTTTTACATTTTCCACGCAAACGTGAAACTTGCAGGATGGCTGAGGACGGCAGACGCGGCGACGAAGAGGACCGAGGGCCCGGAGCGGCTTACCGGGGGGTCGCAGTGATGGAGAGCCTGCTGGAGAAGCTGAATGCACTCAACTATGAGGAGGAGGTTCTGGGCAAACACAACATGAAGAACCTGTCCAGGTAAGAAGCGCGTAGTTCGGATGTAAGTACGGTGTCCTTTTTAGGATTTAGAAGCAGAAAAAAACAAAGTGTGTAACTAGTAGTAACTAGTCACACGTTTACAAAAATATAATGAGATAAAAACACAGACACGTCCTAAAGATAAGTGATTGTGTTGTTCATTCATCCCTCTGGTTGGAGGAGAGTGATGGAGTTCAAGGATGATGTTGAGGGTTTGTGTGGCCTTGGCGTTGTACTGGACTGTTGTGGTGGAGAGAGAGCCGCCTACAACCCTCACTTCTGTCAAAGCTCTGAGCGACTGAAGCAAGAAGATGGAGGATAAGAGTGCTCTTCTGCTATTGATTCATTTGTTGGGACAATGCAGCGTTTCAGTTCTTGATCTTTATTCTGTTATTTTCTGTTCATTGATCGATCAACCCAGACAAAGTATTGCATAACAATAAAATTAAATCCAGGCTTGTTTCCAGTGTTTGTGTTGATTTGATGTTTGCACAGTGAAGGAAAACCCTTCAGTTCCCTCTGCTTTCTCCGTGCAGGCATTACTTCGTCTCCAGTCCATACCTGGCGTCTAACCCCGGCGAGCAGTTCTACATGTTCACCATCATCGCAGCGTGGCTCATCAATGTGGCGGGGAGGCCGTTTACCGAGCCGCAGGAGTACGACGAACCCAACGCCACCGTGTCCAACATCCTGGCAGAACTGCGGGCCTTTGTGAGTCACACAGAAAGAGTTTAGAAGCTGGAAATGAGCTTTGGTATGTCTGGAGTTAGTTTGTTTGTGCTGTGATAAATCTGACCGATTGTGCGAAGGCGGGAGCTTCCGTTAAAGAAGAAGAGTTTGACGCTTTTTAAAATTTCTCCTCTGTTTTTCAGGGTGTTAAGGTGGACTTCCCGCCCTCCAAACTGAAGTCGGGCTCAGGCGAGTACGTCTGCTTCGTGCTGGACCGACTGGCTGAGGAGGCGCTCAGGAGGAGAGGCTTCACCTTCAGGAAGTATGCCGTCTGTTTTCTTCTTTTCGTCAGGCTGCTTTTGTTGCTTCTGTGTTTATAGAAGTTGTTTTACTTCTTTCTGTCTCTGTTTCAGGACAAACTACCCATCAGAAAACACAGAAGAAGAGTCTGTGGTGGAGGACGACGCCGAGCTCACGCTCAGCAAAGTGGAGGAGGAGCTGATCGTAGGTGTTCTGCATTCGTCTAACTTCCTCTTCTCTTCCGTTCGGCACACTTACAGGATGAATCTGTTTTTACTGCGGTGGTTTCCTGCACCTCTGTCAGAGATCACCAAACACTGAGAGGAAATCAGGGAACAGATTTCAAAATAAAACATCCTCACACTTTTATTTTAAAAACATTTTATTACAAAATATTTGCCTCGTTTTATAAAGTCCATCACACTTTAGAGCAGAAATCATAATCGAGTATATTGTCATGACCGTGTTTTGGGTCGAGCCATGAATCGTCTTCACATCTCATGATTGTTTTCTGTGTGACCAGGATGAAGGAGACGAGGAGGAGGAGAACGTGATGGACCTGGAGGCTCTGAAGTTACGAAGCACTCACACTGTGAGATCACCTCAGAATAAGATTACATCATAATTTCCACTTTCACGCTCTCGCATTCGCTCCGAGCTTTGAACTCGCCGCGGCGTCTGTTTTCTGGCAGGAAGCTGAGACGTCCTCCAAACCCGACGAGATCCTGGAGTCGACGGTCGACGCGACAGAGTGGAACCTGGAGGTGGAGCGAGTCCTGCCGCAGCTCAAAGTCACCATCAGGACCGACAACAAGGTAGGCGCTCACCTGGCGCTCGCCTGAGGTGTCGGAGCTTCTGCCAGATGTGAGATGAAGTGAAAGAAGCTTCACACTCGTCCAGAGTGATCGTAACAAGCTTTTGTTTCTGTATGAGTGACTGAAGGCTTTGAAGGTTACCTGCAGTTTCCCAGCATGCTCTCTGGTTGGCTGTCAGTGTTAGTGGCTCTCACTCTCTGGTCTGTGTTGGTCCTGCAGGACTGGAGGGTCCACGTGGACCAGATGCACCAGCACAGAGACGGGATCCAGTCCTCACTCAAGGAGGCCAAGGTGCGTTCACTGACCCGCTTCATCATCATGTCATGTCCTCCCTGCAGCCTCTCACTGTCATCGGACGGGACGAACAAGAAGTATTATTTTATTTCAGTCACACATAAAGAATATTATCAGTTTTAATTAAATAAACTAAATCAAACAAGAAGAAGAAACAGATGTTTCCATGTTCAGGGAATCTGCCGTTAACCACAGAGACGAACGTCCTGAGGACTGTTTCAATAATTCTGGAGAAAGATGAAAACAAAATAAGTTCATGGAGTGAAACTAAACATGACGTCATTCTTCGTCGTCTCTGCAGAGTCACCTGGACAAGCTGCAGGAGGACATCGGGAAGACGCTGGAGAAGGTGAGCAGCAGAGAGAAGTACATCAACAACCAGCTGGAGCATCTGATCCAGGAGTACCGCAGCGCCCAGGCCAAACTCAGCAAGGTAAACCCGGAGCTGAACGTTCCTGATTCGTTCACGTCATCGCGACACATTTGAGTTCACGTTAATTCCAGTTTGAAACGGTCTCAATGTCAGAATGTGTGCAAACAGTCAGTTCAGTAACTCCTGTCATCCTTCAGGCCAGAGAGCGCTACCAGCAGGCCAGCGGAGGAGTGACGGAGAGAACCAGAGTGCTGGCCGAGGTCAGTGAACGCACCACGCATTCACTTTTATAATTAAACAAATAAAAGCATCAAAGCACAAACAAACATGGAGGAAGAGACCCATCAGTAACCAGTCTGAGCTAATCGCGTAACAACGTCAGTGTTGACTTGGATTGGGTTTAATTAAATATTTGTCTTATTTTGAAATGATGACAGCCTGTATTGTTCTTGTGTTTTAATTTGAAATTCTTCTGTTTGTTTCAGATCAGCGAGGAGCTGGAGAAGGTGAAGCAGGAGATGGAGGAGAAAGGCAGCAGCATGTCTGACGGAGGTGAGGTGACTCTGGTCACAGTGCTCGGTTTTGACTCCGGCGCTGCCGCAGTGCTGACCTCTGCGCTTCTTCTTCTTCTTCTTCTTCTGCTTTTGCAGCTCCGGTGGTGAAAATCAAGCAGAGCCTGACGAAGCTGAAGCAGGAGATCATTCAGATGGACGTGCGGATCGGCGTGGTGGAGCACACGCTGCTTCAGGCCAAACTCAAGGAGAAGTCCAACATGACGCGAGACATGCACGCCACCAACATCCCCGAGCCCGCCGCCGGGCTGTTCGCCTAGCGCAGCAGCCTAGACCCGAAAAACCCGGCGAGGTCCGACTCCTCTAAAAGGACCTGAAAGGCTCAGGAAGCCGAAAAATGTCTTCACATCTATTTATAACCAACATATTTTTCCATTTCCTGTGATGGATGTTTTTATGTCTTTGAGGGATTTTTATAAACTTAAAGAATTTCTCTGTTAAGCTCAATGATTCAAATCCATTAATCGGATTGACCACCAGATGGCGCCAGAGTTGCAGATAAAGGGCTTGTTATTGAACTTTTAAAAGTATAATAATCGAAGCATATTTGAATCTTTAGTTAGCATAGTTTTTATTTTTCTACTAAATATTGTAAACACTAAATAAAACCTTAAAAAACAGAAAATCAACCATTTTGACTCCAGGGAATTTTATTTCATCAGCAGCAGCTGATTAAGGATAAACAGGAAGTTGTGTTTTGGACCTTCAACATAAAACACCTTCACATTAGAATACTTTAAATGTTTCCTGATGAAAGCTGGAACATTTACTGAATAATAAATGTAAGTTTAGAAAACCTTTTTCTTTTATTGAACTAAACTCTGCATTTATCTCTTCACATGTGTTTGTCTCTAAATGAGGCTGAAAATTAGAAACCAACTGCACACTGTCCCGGATCTCCTGTCCTGTTTGTGGATGTTTTATCAAACTGATGTTTCAAATAATGAGCCCAAAGCTCAGACTGCAAACTCAAACACACAAACCTTTTTTCTTTTTTTAACTTGTAGACCTGTCAGGCACACAGAAGCCCCACCGACTGTTTTTGTGAGCCAATCAGAAGAAAGTTATCTGAAAGGTTAGACGCTAAAGCAGCTGGCTTCTACACAGAGATCCTCGTGGACATAAAGAAGAAAAGAAAAACCTGCACGAATATATGTTTTATTCAGTAATCATCAGTTTTGCGTAGTTACTTTAAATATTTTTGTCTCGCTTGGTGCTTTTACTTTGAAAACCATACGTGTTTTAATTTGACAGCAGCTGCTGCTTCCTGCGGGTGGGCGAGGCAGAGTGACAGCTGCGAGCTGCAGACTTCTTTTTATCCTCCTGGAGACGAAATGTGAAGGTTTCAAAGCGAAAGTCTAGAAGAAAAAATACGCAAAGGAAAAACGAAAAAGGTTCAGCGACCGGAAGAAGATTTTTCTGGACAAAAAAAGGAGGAAAAGTGATCGGTGAGTTGAGCTTCAGTCCCGTTAGTTTCTCTTTGTCTGTTTTTCTGCTGCTGATCCGACTTGAAACACAAACAAACTCAAACAGCCGTTTTTTAACGGGCTGGATATTTATGCAAACTTTAATTTCATCCTAAAAGAAAATAAATAAAAATAAACTTGTTTATGTTTATAAAGCTTCTTTTATAATTTCTTTTTATTTACACGATAATAAAAACTGTAATTCCGTTTTCAGTATTATGTGTATCAGAGTAAAATTACACCACAGATATTTTATAGTGGGAATATTTCAGGAATGATCAGATCACGTGGGAAACCGCGGAGATCAAAGTGTTTACAGGATATTCTGAAGAATTCGGATCATTTTAAACCAGCAAAGTGAAAAAATCTTAAATAATAACCGAACAGCTCAAAGTTATTGTTACAGGAATGTGACACAGAAATACTCAACAATGAGGACGAGCAGTGATGAAGCTCGAGCTCATTGTTGTTCCTCGTTATTAACGAAACTAAACAAAAATCCTCAGATTTACATGAAAAGCGATTTTAGAGCTGAAACAGTAAATTGGAGAAGTCTGAGTGTCTGAAGGTGGAGAATGGTTTCTTCCGTTTTTGACGCGTTTTCCTCCAACATCAGCAGCTCCAGCAGACACCAGCCTGCTGCTGCAAGGCATGCTGGGAAACACGGGATGGGAAGAATCCATAAAGGGGGCACAGAGGGGGGATTCAGTTATTATTAAATAATTTAGATTATCTTTAGTCTCAATACAGAAACAGGAACATCCACATAACAGCTGAAGCCTTTTTTTGTATACTTTATTGATCCCCGTGGAGAAATTCCTCTCTGCATTTAACCCACTCACTTAGTGAA